TTGAAAAATATTCACAAATAATGTGTTTTATTTTCATAAATAATTGCCTAAAAATGCAACTTATAAAGTACAGAAGTCTTAAACAGTGGCAAAAATATTATACATGTATTTACATTAAATTCATATGCAGTTTGAATTCAGAACAATATCAACTTTATTTATACAATTCATTACTGTAATTTTGAAGCAATTATAAATTTATATTTTTATTTTTTACAAGTGAAGGTTTTTGATCTTCAAAGAAGACTGTAATTGAGTTAATGTTTATCTTGTTACTGTTTACATTGCAGCTTGTCCCTGCGTTTGTGGGTTCTTTGAACTTCTTTCCAGAACATTCCAACAGGCTTTGCTGTATGGAAAAAGCGATCTAAAATATTCTAACACACATTTATTAAAATCTCTGATTTTAGGAAAAATAATTTCGAAATACAGAAAAAAAAATTCATTATGTACCTGTGCGTTTTTAAACACGTTGTTTCACATGTGGACATGTATACAAGTTGGCTTATACAAAAGTAGTACGAAACCACGAGGGTCGAACAAGTAATCGGAACGTAACCACCCAATACCATTTCAGTTATGTCACAATACTTTTAAATTACAGATATTATCAAAAAGATATCGCTCCATGCTGTAGGATCCGTCATAGAAACGCTTGCATGTTGATTTAAGTACCGTTAATGTTGAATGTAAGCTTAAAGGTACTTGGACACAGATATGAAGTTAATATTTTATGTATAATATCACGAATTATATATCTTAATAGCATTTCACACAAAAATTAATTAAAGTCTTATTTCATTTAAAAGTTAGTAAAACTTTAATTTTTTTGGCGGGTTTGATTAACACATCCTTGCACTTTCACAAATTTTAACTTATTCTTAATCCTTAGGAAAAGTGGCAATTTTGATGTGTTTTAATGAGAAATATTAAAACTTTTATCAAGAAAAATAATTTTATTCAGAGTAGAAATGTTAGAAAGCAAAACACCTTCACAAGTATCGTCATTCCGAACTAAGAGATGCGTACAGAGTTTAGCAAATCGAGCACACTCGTGTTATGTACACAGTTTTTGTAAACAGGGCTCGAGTTCTGTTATTGTTTATATTTAGAATTCACCGGGTGCGTTCAATCGTCACAGTCTGCTTACCACAACTGCACGGACTGACAATATATTGTGTGTTTGTTTTGCTTTTGAACGTGTCTACTCTGAATTTTTTGGATTATAGTATTAATATTTTTCATTTATACAAAACGAGATTGCCACTTTTCCTAAGGATTAAGAATAAAATTAAAGAACTTTATGCGGTATTAACCAATATTTGCCCCCCAAATCAAACTTTGATGGAGTAATATTTAATTAAGTCCTTGAACAGGGGAGTATATGCTGACTTCAAAGCACTGAATTATTTCATAAGTAATGACGTCATATGTACGTAATGACGTCACAAAAATGACGTAAATTTCAGTTTTTTATGAATTATACAGAAAAATGTACATATTTCGTTGATATTTTAAATAAAAGTCACCGAGCGCATGTGTTCAGGATAAATATTTTGATATGATGTGTAGAATCATACTATCAATGAAATATGTCAATATTGTTCCTGAACACACATGCGCTCTATAAATTCTAAAGCTAAAATTGTTGAAATTTTGTCCATTTTGTCCTCTTTCTGAAAAAGGATATAAAATCAGACTAGTTTATGACGTCATAAAAACAAAAATTGTGAATACACTGCTTTTGAACTATAATATTTTCTGTTAATTTATATTTCTCGTACAATTTATTGAATTCAGCACATTTCAGAAAGTTTTCAAAATTTGACTTTTGTGGGGGCAAACATATGCAATATACCGCATATAGTTCTTTGTGAGAGTGCAAGGATATGTCAATCAAACCCGCCGAAAAATTTGAAATTTCAATATCTTTTAAACGAAATAAGATTTTTAATTAATTTTTGTGTGAAATGCTATTAAAATATATAAGTCGTAATATTATAGAGAAAATAATAACTTCAAATCTGTGTCCAAGTACCTTTAAGCGTTTTAAAGACGTTTCTTAGGAATGTACAACAAATAATCTGATAAAATCGGATTTCACATAGAAACAAGCATTCTGAGAGTATTGCATAAGCAATACATGTCCCCTACCGGGTTCCCCTTTTTCTTCAGGATGTCATTTTATAATATGCAAAAGTTACATCCAAGGTAAAACTGCATGATTTTTTTAGGTCATGAATGCCTTAAACCTAATAAAATAATCCACATCAAGATGAAAATTCAACTCATTTTTTCCAACCGGACCAACGTCTTTTACTCGCTTCATATTTATGTCGACTATCGGAAGTTAGCGCAGCACGAACCCGATCTTAATTAAACAAATGCGAAAAATTCATAATGCCATAATTCTGTCAAAAATTAATGAAGCGATGCGATTTTCAAACTTGATCTGTAACTCATCAAGATACACTCAAATACCAAAATTCAGCACAATATCTGCAAGCGTTTAGAAAAAAAGTGCGAAAAACCAAGTGGGACAGACTGACAGATAGACGGGGACAGACAGACAGACAGACAGACAGACAGCTAGACAGACATACAGACAGACAAACGGACAGACGCAGAGGAAACCTATAGTCCCGTCCGGTTTCACCGGTAGGGGACTAAAAACCAGCTTAATATCTGCAAGCGTTTAGGAGAAAACGCGGAAAACCCTGAAAAATTGAAAAGGCCGTAATTCCGTAAAAAATCAACGAATCGTAACGATATTCAAACTTGATCTGTAACTCATCATGATACACCGACGTACCAAAAATTAGCTCAATATCTGCCAGCGTTTAGAAAAAAAAGTGTGGAAGACCAAATGGGACAGACTGACAGACAGACGGAGACAGACAGACAGACAGACAGGCGGACGGACGGACAGACGGACGGACGGACAGACGCAGAGGAAACCTATAGTCCCCTCCGGTTTCACCGGTAGGGGACTAATAAAAGGAACTGTAATCGGATAAATACGGACATCGGAAAAAATATCAGGTGCATTTTTATAGGGTAGGTCAGGTTACCCGAAACACAATTTTTTTCTCTAGGCCTTATGGAAAAACCCCTACATAAACAAATACATGGGCGCAGACATTTTGGACACCCGAAGTTGTGCGGAGGAGAAAATGCTAGCTGGCGCGTGATTGGTCAATAAGAGAAAAGACTGGTTATGTATTTGACAAGTGAAATAAAGTTGATAAAAATCTCATATCAAGACTTGGGTTTCTTTGAGGTATATAGGAGTTACAGGTAAAAATTTGAAGGGAGGGATGCACTTTGGTTAGAGATTTTCATTTGGTGTCAAACGCACCTAGTTGTAAACAAATGGAAATTGAAAGTAAAAGTGCAACGGCACGGTATATTTTTTTCTGGCATTTTTTGTTTTCCAATATCTCGAACTTTCACGACAAAAAGGTCATTTGCCCGAAATTCAATATATGTATCAGTGAGAGGGGCTAAAGTTTGTATGGAAGTCTATGGGAAAACATTTGGTGGTGTTTGTCCTATAGAAAAGGTATGATTTCATGGTTAAAAATTGATTACAGCCAAAAAATCAATCGGTTCCTATTTTTTTGGCATTGAGATTATATTTTAGTTAGTTTTGACTATTTGTTTAAAAATTAGAGGGTTTGGGTAAATTGAGACTCACAATGGGGACTGCACATAGTGAAAAAATGCCAAAATTTGTGCCCTAGCTCTCATATTTTCGATAAATGTACACGTAAATAACTTTAAATAAATATTTATACCGAAATTTACTGTGAATATTGTAAATAATGCAATATCAATATTTATGGGCATCATCAATACACAAAACATATGAATATCCCCCTCGCAGTTTGAGAAATTTATTTAAATCCATGTATTTTATGAGTGTAGACATTGGAACAGATTGATTAATCTTCTTTCAAATTTGTGTTAATCAGAGTTGATTGAATAATTTATAACAAGATTTGACTGCTATTTACTAATTAGGGTACTTTGTTTTTACATAAGGGGCATAATCCAGCAGCAAAGCCAGTTTCAGTCATGTAATCAGTGCTGGCTTGAAATAAAAGTTATACTTTTGGTGAAACTTAGAGATTACTAGTAGGAAATTTAATTTAAATTACAGTACAATATATTTTTGCAGAAAATACATTGAAAATGCAATAAATATGCAAAATTATAACTGAAAAAATTATGAAAAAGGTATCTGAATATCCCTCCACCTTGCCATATCCAATCTTGATATTCTGCTGAAAAGGGGGGGGGGTAATTTTGTGCTCTAATCATGCTGTAAAATGAGGGAAATTTGTTAAAATCTGGTTTATTTGAATAACAAGAGTCATGCTTATCTGCAGTTATTTTTTTTTCAATTTCTTTTTTATTTTTTAAAACAATTATCTGAGTAAATTCTACTTTAACATGATTATTTTAAAGGTATTACATCACAAATGCTTAAAAAAAATTCAAAAGATGGTGTTAAGAATAAAAAATTATGATATAAGCTACTAGATGCATTTATCAGTATGTTTTAATACAATAAAATGTATTTCAGCGATGCATTCTCAAGAAGGAAGAGATTAATGAACCCTACCCTCTTACAATGAACAACACATGGATACTCTCGGGATGATCCCTTTGCTTTCATTAAGAGTTCCAAGGTATTGTTTTCTTAGAAAATCTAGTTAATCTCTTAATATTTAAGTTATTTAGAACTTTTTATAGATTAAATAAATTTCCTCAGAACTGCAGTTTTTTAAGCACTTTGCTTACAATTGAGCACTTTATTCAGTCAGACAATATGATTTATCTGCCCTTGGCATTTAATCAATTTATTAATTAGATCAATAATAAGAAATGATATGCAAATAAATATATTTGCCTTTTATGAGAATATACATATTTAACATCAAATACATGAAATGTTCATGAAAATTGGCTAAAATGTAGGTCACCCCCCTTCAAAATTACAAATTTTTCAGTGGGGATGTATTTGATTCTCTGATGCCAGCAACCCACTGCTGATAGAATTTTTTTTCAATCTTATGTACATTTGAACTAGATATAATTCTCTATTCTTTCCATTGATTATTTTATCTATATTGGTTTTCACTCTTAATATTCCATAACCCAGCTTTTCTTACAAAAACCTGCTGATTTTCTTCATTTTTCATTGATAACGGGTACCTGCTACCCTGAATGATTAACATGATCTTCCTTGAGAAATTATTAGAGATAATAAGAAAGACAAGCAAAACATATGCTAGATTAATCATTTTATTTCAAAAGTTTGAAAGAAAAATAGAAAAATGCTTCAATTTATAGACATCTTTTCTGTTTCACAGATGTGGGTCTGATTGACTGGGGTGTGAAATGTAACAGCCAATGGTGTACTTAAGGTAAGACTGTCAGTCCTAATATTCAAGAGGTCAGATAAGCAATGGATATGTGTTCTAAATTTACTAAATTGACCACTTTTAACAAATGTTTCTTTTACTCTATAGGAAAAACCCCTACATAACAAATACATGGGCGCAGACATTTTGGACACCCAAAGTTGTGCGGGGGAGAAAATGCTAGCTGGCGCGTGATTGGTCAATAAGAGAAAAGACTGGTTATGTATTTGACAAGTGAAATAAAGTTGATAAAAATCTCATATCAAGACTTGGGTTTCTTTGAGGTATATAGGAGTTACAGGTAAAAATTTGAAGGGAGGGATGCACTTTGGTTAGAGATTTTCATTTGGTGTCAAACGCACCTAGTTGTAAACAAATGGAAATTGAAAGTAAAAGTGCAACGGCACGGTATATTTTTTTCTGGCATTTTTTGTTTTCCAGTATCTCGAACTTTCACGACAAAAAGGTCATTTGCCCGAAATTCAATATATGTATCAGTGAGAGGGGCTAAAGTTTGTATGGAAGTCTATGGGACAACATTTGGTGGTGTTTGTCCTATATGATGAAATGGAGATAAACATATTATTCGATACACAGAGCAACAAAATTGGCGATGATGTACTGGTAATTTGATCTGCTGGTTATCGTACACAGTGTACGTGGTTTTGTATCCTTGCTTTGCTTTCTGTATATTTCACCGATTTCACTTGAAAAAAAAAGATGTTTTCACTCATGTTTCTCTCCCAGATGGGTGTTTTTCGAAAGAAAGTTTTTCTTTTTTTTTTTATTATGAAAAGAGAGATAACTCTTTTCTGTAATTTGTTCACAGCAGGGATGTTGCACTCCGTTTACCACATATACGGTCCCGACCTTTTTCCTTTTCTGTTCATGGAACTCCAGTGACCCCCCTTCTGAAGACAAAAAAGTTTTGCTTTCCATGAAAGGTACCTTAAAAACAAGGTTTACTATTTGCATCAAGTTGTCCTTAGTAATGACCATGCGGTCTTTTCCTGGCAAAAGTTTACGAAGGCAAACATGTCATGCAAAGAAATTTTTTTTACTGCTAATAAAGATGATCCATATTACGCCCTCACAGGTCAAGCAATACCATTAAAACAATTAGAACAAGAAAGATTATACTAAAGGTGTACGTATTTAATTTACTCCAAATGTTACAGCGACGTGGACCTTATTTGCGTTGCCTGCAATGCAGAGTGACATTGGTTGATCACTTTTCCTTGCGTTTGTCTGTCCGTCTGTCATACCTTATTCATGTATCTCAAACCTGTAACAGATATACATGTACAGATTTTATTTACACAAATATTGCTAGGAACATATTTAAGAATTACAATGGTTACGGTGTTGTGGTCATTAATTTAATCCTTGACTTACTTCTCAAAATAGTTATAAAGCTGATATACAACACAATTTTATAGACATTTAAGAGTATTTGTAATTTTGCATATGCACTGAATCAGTATGAAAAATGATGAATGATAAGATTTATGTGTTGACAAGGACCTTACACTGAACATCAAATTTGCAAAATGTTGACTTTAAAGAAGACGGTTGATATCATTGTTTAATCAACTTATTTATCAGTAGCTTACCTTGTTTTAGAAATTGTTTGAACGTAGAGCATGGTCTTGTGTATCGAATCAAGAGAGAGACATAAATTCCACACGAATGTGATAATGGTATATTTTGCAAGATAAATGAAAAAAGTTTACAAAGGAGAAGTTCACCAAGTTGTTAATAAGAAATTAAGATAAACAGAAAGTTGCCGAGAAAATTCAACTGGAAGGCAGAAGGACAATTAGATACACTGTAGAGGTTTGTATGTCAGAAAAAATGTAAATCAATTTATTTAAATTTAGTTAATTTTCACTAGGTCAAGTACTGATCGACAGAACACTGGGTGTTTAATCTCTTTCGATTTCAAGAGGCTGCCTGCTAATACAAGAATGTGGGTGCAGCTGAGGCCCAAACCTTCAGAAATATATCCTTGGACCCGGGGTGTATATTCAGGGTGGGGATGTAGTTACTAGTATTAGGTCCTAAGAAACTTTTAATGTACCTGATTTAATAAATGACTTGCCCCTCGGCACATGTATGGCATTTAAAACTACCCAGATTCAATATAGACACAGTTTAGCAAAACAAAAGATATTCTACTCATGCAAAACAATCGCTCCGTGATCGGGCGATCGTGGGTTTGAACCCATGCAGGCCGCGACTGACCGAAGTCTATAAAGAAATAAATAAGAGTGTTCCTTCGCCAAACTTTCTGCACATTAAGGTGAAAAGTCGCACATGGCGGATGTGACCGGTCGGTACATTGTACATGTTTATTCCATGGCACATGATCCCATCTCTGTTGTGTTTTCTAGAGCTCTGTTTTTGCTCTACTCCTAATTTGTATTGTTTAATGGACTTTTGAATTCGAGTGAAACATATGAAGATAACGAAGAGTATTTCGGATCAAAAGTCCATATAACAAAACAAAATAGGAGCAGAGCAGACACGGACATCCAAAACATCAGAGGTGGGATAAGTTGCCATGGAGGAGTAGCATCCCCTGCCGACCGGTCACACCCGCCCTGTGCTCCATTTCATGATTGGAAATAACGGAAAAATCTGTCGTCAAATTAGTGTATAAATAATGGACTATTAATTAGTATGAAAAACGTCAGTTAGCATTTCACTCAATGATAAATTATTTTTGCTGACAAGGTCATTGTATCGACCATAGAACTTACGAAATGATGACTTTAAACAAGCCTGCTGAAATTCTTGTTTTATTAACTTGTTTGTCAATAATAACCTCGTTGTAGAAATTGTTCATACGGAGAGTATGCTCTTGCATGTCGAATCAACTGAGAAATATAAAGTCCCCAAGCAGGTGATGAAGGTATATAGCTGCATAAGTTAGGGAAGTTGACGATAGAAAAGTTAAAGATTTCACGTTTATCATGGAGCTTGTTAGATTACCATTAATGTCTTTTTCAAGTAAAATATCTAAATATGTAACAAATGTGTCAGACTCTATAGTATCTTTTATCTCAAGCTCAACAGGATATATCTTATCGATATAACAACGGAAATTTCCATTGTTAATTGTCAGTACGTCGTCGATATAATTATCTAAAAATTCTGCTTCATATGAATACAAAAATAGGTCTGCTAATAACGAGGCGCAATTGGTACCCATGGGAATTCCAACAGATTGTTGGAAGACCTCAGTCTCCAAAAACAACACAGATATTATCAGTAAGAAACTCAAGATCTTTTTGATGTCGACTTCAGAGTACTTGTGTGTATAATCAGAATGCTTTTTAACAAAATAATTTTGCAAATGACCAATGACAAGGTACATAAATGCTTACTTTCACCAGAAACCCCGAAGGCCCTTGTCACGGCAGGCATTTGACCGATAAAGATCCTTTACTTACTGCTCAATTGTCCCGAGTGAAAAGGTCTAAATTTGAAGCACTTCAACGGAATAAAGGTATGATTGAAAAATTCTCGGAATAGTACATACTGCTGAAACCGATCAATCAATCCTAACAAAAGTTATACTTCAATAGTTAATGAAACAGTTTTGAAAAAGATTTAATTGACATGAATGGTACTCAGAAAACGTTTTGGAATTGAGAAAAGGTGAATGATTGAAAATTTAACACTTGTTTAAAAAGGAAACTTGTCCTACATGTAATTCGAAAATCCTATACGTTATATTGAACGGGGGAATGAATTTTTTTTTAACTTTTACAAGGAAAAGCTTATGATTTACATAAATGTGCAACAGCATCGTGGAACCCACGGGGTTTCGCTCCGTTACAATAATTTACCGGATGAGTTCTGAAAAGCTTTATTTGTACAACAAACACTTGTTTTAAGCGCTGTCTTAAGAAATACAAGTCACTAGTTTAAGCGCTATCACAGGAACTACAAGAAAACATTGACGTTACCATCAATTGTCGCCCGGGAAATATATAAAGTAAAAAATGAAAATGAGTCTTGGTCATCAAACCGCTTCGATGTGTGTGAAAAGGCATGCGTCTAATTGATGGAGACGATAGTCGCGAATATTTTGAAAACTTGTAGTGGGATAAAAGTACATAAAAAAAGATACCATTTTAAACTTGATCAATTCCTCAAGTAAATCTTGGCTGTATAAAATATAAATTGAAGTTAAACACACGCATCACCTATATTTAAAAATGTATTAATTTTCAATTTTAGAATATAAATTACGAACTGTGCAGAGTACGTTTTTATCCGAGAAGTAAAACTCGATGTTCTAAAAAAAAGGGACCTGTCGTTTTTTCGATAGTAAATGATAAGCAACTTTATATATTAAATATGAAAAGCATATACATTTTTACAGATTCACTTTATGGAAGTAAATATATTATATATCTCGTAATTTTTAAACGTAAAGAACATTTTGATTAACAATCTTTTCAATGTTGAGAAAACCTTCAATTCTAAATAACTACTCTCATCCCAATCCCCATACACCAACACTTAAACTTATATGTATAGAGCAGCCCGGTCCTCCGGGCTGCAATAAGGGTCATTTGTACAATAGAACCTTTTCCTATGACGTATTTTGCCTTGGAGTTATCCCCCTTAGCCGCCATCTTTTTGGGCATTTTGTTGTTAATTTTCCTTTTTTGGGGCAACCAATTTTAAACATGCATGCAAGAGATATATGGGGGAAAAATTTACAAACTTAAAATCATGAATAGAGGCTTTAACAAACGTATATTCATCAAAGAAAAATAAATGTTATCTTTATCTCAGTAACCAGTAAAACAAATTGAACTTGGTTTAATAATAAATGGATCTAGGAATAATGCCCTACAATATTACGGCCAAAGGGAATAGAACTCTTGCTTAAATCACCTCAATGAAAAACACTTTATATGCCGACCGTTATATAATACCAAGATTTGTTAATTTGAAAGTCGGATGGAAACCTCGCGTTTGAATAATCCTTATACTATGCTTCTCGCATTTTTGGGGGGAAATTTTATAAAACATTCTTTAAAAATCACGTTTATAAATCAGTCTATTTAGAAATTGTTTGATATACATGCATCAAAAGACCAGTATCCTCGCTGCAACTGC